CCTGCGTCAGAATTTCCTTCTAGAGGCACCTGGATTGAGCATCCGACTTCGGCTCAGGTCATGGTCTCGCAGTTTGTGAGTTCGAGCCCCTCCTTGGGCTCTCTGCTGTCAGTGCAGACTCCACTCTGGGTCCTCTGTCTCCCTCTCTCTGCCCCTCCCCCACTCTCAAAAATAAATAAACATCAAAAAAACCCAAGGAATTTCCTTCTAGATGAGGTGATGCTTGCTCAGTCACACAGCCAGCTTGGCACGGAGAGGAGATGAGTGGTATGGGGGCTCGGGGTACGTGCTCTTACTGCTTCTCTGCTTTTATTCTTCTGTCGCAGCCCGAAGCGTCTTTGGCCTCTGTACTGTGCACAGAGGTTGGGGGCCTAACTCTGCTTTCTCCCGCAGGTATTATGGCGGGACGGAGTTCATCGATGAGCTGGAGATCCTCTGTCAGAAGCGGGCGCTACAGGTCTATGATCTGGACCCCCAATGCTGGGGGGTCAATGTCCAGCCCTACTCAGGTAATTGCCTGGGCAGACCCCTGCCTGCCAGTCTCCCAGGGCCGCCTTTCACCCAAAGGAGTCTTAACAAGGACTCTGCCCACAAACGAAGTAAAAAACAGGATAAGCCCCTCCTGGGTCGGCGCATCTCTCTCTCTCTCTCTCCCTCAACCTTGGTGTCCACCTGACTCACCCTTCCTCAACACCTGTCCCTTATTCTCGGGGGCTTTGCTGCAGGGGACCCTCCGTGGTGCTGTGGGGGGTGCACAGTGGTGGCCAGGCCTGTTCTGTCCACTCCTGGTTGATGGCCTGCCTGGTGGCCAAGCTCTGGGGCCCTGCTTGGGGCCTCGTGGGCAGAAGTCACCATACCGCGTCTGGTCTCGTGTTCCAGGCTCCCCGGCAAACTTCGCCGTGTATACCGCGCTGGTGGAACCCCACGGGCGCATCATGGGCCTCGACCTGCCCGACGGGGGCCACCTGACCCACGGGTTCATGACAGACAAGAAGAAAATCTCTGCTACGTCCATCTTTTTTGAATCCATGCCCTATAAGGTAAGAGGGGGGTCTCTCTCCATTAGCTCTGCTGTCCTTTGGCTCAGAAAGCCTCCAGTGTTTGGCTGCACCTGTAGGAACAGGTAGTCTGCTCGTCAGGCGCTAAAGGAAGTCCCCACCTCTTGCTGTCACCCTCCTCCCCGCCCCCACAGCCCCAGCCACTCCTCAGGCATCCAGGGGGCAGCTGAAGCACAGGGACACGGGTCAGGGAGGCGGCTGAAGAGAAGGCCCAGCTGCAGCCAGGGCCCCCGGGGACAGCCCTGCTCGGAACCCCCAGGGCAGCACCCCCCCGCGCCCCAGCCCAGGACGGTGGCTATCCTGGAACAGGGGGCCTGTGCACCCTGCCGCCCCTCACACACCTGTCAGCTAGCCACAGCCTGCACGAGCCACGTGCCCCGCATGGGACTGGCGAGTATTCGAGGGGGGCCCTTGTCATTATAAATGGTTTGGTCGAACGGTGCATGGCACGCTCATGGGCTCACGGTCGGTGATGGGGAGGAAAGCAGTAACCAGCACGCGTGCCTGTGGGGTGGTGGGGTGGTGCACGTGGTGACTCTTCCTCCTGTCCCAGAGCCAATTCCTCGTGGCGTCCGCTGCCCAGCGGGCCGCTCCAGGCGGGTTCACGTGTCCCACGGCGAGCGAAGGTCGTGGTGCCTCATTATGCTCGGCTGAGTGTCAGACGCATAGAAGTCAAGCCAGTGTTTCATCTTGGCGTTTCGCGGTCTCTGTTGCTTGCCCTTGACTGTTCACCGTGTGTTAGCCTTTGGCTCAGTCCTAGTCGTCGCACGGGTGCTTTTGGGGTGCAGGTGACGGTCCGCTTGTTTTCATGGAAAGCTGAGGTGTTTCGCACCAGGGGTGTCCTCATTGGCCAACAGTGGACAACCCCTCGAAGGTGGATTTTGAAACGTGACAGGAGGAAGACGGTGCTCCGCCTTTGCGCATGGAACTCAAAAGCCAGTTTCTACAGTTTCTCTCCCTACGGAAAGAGCGGTGGTGGAGCAGAACCCCGGGCTGGTGTTCTGGTCTCATGTGCGGCCTTAGGCAGCCTGACTCTTTAGCGTAATGTCCTCCATTACCCAAGAGGCTCTTCTGGGTGTTAGCGGGCTCATCACCCCCGTCTCTGCGTCTTTGACACACACCGTGCAGGCTGTAGCCCCCTCTGTGGGTGGAGGGTAGAGGCTCCCCTGGTGTTGGGCCTGCGGGGGTGTAGAGAGGAGGGGCCTAGGGGCCTGGCCAGCTGTGGGCACCGGCCCTGTGCAGGGAGGAGGACACAGAGCTGACTGGGCTCCAGCAGCAGCTGCCACGCCCCTCCGCTGCCCACCAGGCTGCCTCCCTGCCCAGCCTTTCCCAGCCCTGCCCTCGCCATGGGGCTCTCTCCCTCACCCTGGGGCTCTCTCCCACCCTCTGGCAGCCGCCTCACACGGGCCCAGGCATTTCATCTCTCCAGGGGAAACAGCACCTTGAACCTTCTGTCACCTCCTCTCTCCTCTGTGACCATTCCCCTCTCCAAACGTCCTAAGCTTCCTTCCTGTCCCTTTGCACCTCTCTGGCCCCTCAGAAGTTTCTTACAAATGCCTGTGAATTCTCCCTGGAGCTGTTTTATTGTCGAATGTTTAGAGTTTTGTTTTTTTTTAAGTTTATTTATTTATTTTGAAAAGAAGAGGGTGCAGACGTGGGAGGGGCAGAGAGAAAGGGAGAGAGAGAATCCCAAGCAGGCTCCTCATTGTCAGCACAGAGTCCAATGCACGGCGCGAAGCCACGAACTGTGAGATCATGACCCGAGCTGAAGAGTTGGAATGATTAGGGTTTTTAAAAAAAGAGGAAAACCTGGAGCACCTGGGTGGCTCAGTCGTTAAATGTCCAACTTTGGCTCAGGTCATGGTCTCGCGGCTCATGAGTTTGAGCCCCTCTCTGTGTCTCCTCTCTCTCTCTCCCCCTCCCCCACTTACGCTCTGTGTCTCTCTCAAAAAATGAATAAACATTAAAAAAATTAAAAAGAGAAAAATGTTCTAGGGTGCCTGGGTGGCTCAGTCAGTTAAGCATCTGGTCCCACATCAAGCTGTGTTCTGATAGTTTGGGATTCTCTCTCTCTCTCTCTCTCTCTCTGTCTCAAAAATA